CGGGCGAAAAAAGGCGTGGGCGAGGGAGAGGGGTTTAGGTGGGCGGGTTTGTTGGACGCTTGCGTGGCAGCGGTCTGAACACCCGCAAGGCCCCCCCTCCTATTGGGCGCGCACCCACTCCCCTCCCGCGCGCCCCTCATGGGCCGACCCATAGACGGGGTTGGGCGCCCTAGTTTTTTTATTCTGTATTTTTTGTTTTTTTTCTATTTATTCTTCTTTAAAACAATTAGGAATATAAAGAATGTTCAAAATTTAAAGAAAACAACGAATTTTGGGAAAATGTTCTAGAAATCATAACATGTTCGTGGTTAAAAAAATGCTCAGTCCACGTATTGAAAAAATATTCATAATTTCAGAAAAATGTTCGCTAATTCAAATTCGGATGAATATTTTTTGAACTTGATGAATTTTTTTTATTCAAGAGCATTGTCTTTTGAAAAATGGATGAACATTTTTTGCAAAAGCAGTGAACCAATTTTGAATTTGATGCACACTTTTTGATAAAAAGTTGAACATTTTTTGAATTTGATGAACAAAATTTGAATTCAATGAACATTTTTTTTACATTTTTTGAATTTGATGAACAAAAATATATTCATGAATTTAAAAATTTTAATGATTTATTAAAATGTCCATGATTTAATAAAAATTAAGGAACTAAAATATTTTTGCAAATTGAAAATACAAAGAGTAAAAATAAAAAAGGAAAATCAGAAAAGAAAATAAAATCAAAAAACAGAAAAGGAAATATAAAGAAAAACAAAAAATAACAAGGAAGAAAAACCCGAAAGAAAAAAATGAAGAAAAACAAATATAACTAGCTCAAAGAATGTTCTAGAACCTTCCCAAAACCGGATTGGTTGAAAGCCGAAAAACTAGGCTGGCCCATACAAAAACCAGCTCCTAGGGTGTACGTGCTACCTCGCTAGCGCGCCAAATAGGAATCCCCTCCCCCGATTTGCGGGGAAAATGACGTCCGAACCGCTGAGCAGATCGATATAAAACTTTGTTGGATCTCAAAATATGTCCAGACCGCACGACACAAACGATTGCGGACGGTTTGAGGGTCAGGCGTTGGAAGCACAGTACTTCCTCCGTTCGTGAATAAGTGTACATCTAGCTTTTGTCTTAAGTCAAAATTTTAAAATTTTGACTAATTTTACAGAAAAGAGTAGTATCATAATATGACATCGAATTGATACATTATAAAACTACATTTCAAAACGAATCTGGTGATACTAATTTAGTGTCATAAATACTGCTATTTTTTTTATAAAATTGGTCAAAATTTTAAAGCTTTGACTTAAGGCAAATCTAGATGTACACGTATTCAGGGACGGAGGGAGTACTACTTTTCTTTTTTTATTATTACCAGACTAACCCTCGTACTATGCCGTATCAGTGTAAGATACTAGCATCTGACAGGACAAAGGACGTGGAAAATTAAATCCGAGTCGCACGTGGCCCCCCGAACCCGATCTGAATTGGAATTGGGCGCCGCCTAGCGATGGAATCCATCAACATAAATAGCAACGACGTGCCATACAAAAAAAATCGCACAAACAAGACTCACGACTTGTCGACTAGACGAGACGCATCGATGGCAGATCAAGCCATCACAGCGATGTCCGGTGAGGCGAAGCGAGCGGAATTCGAGTCTGACACGGCGGCCGACCCGGGGAACGGCGAGCTGTGGCGCCGCTTCGTCAGGTTCGAGCTGGAGGAGGGCGGCGGAATCGAGGCCGCCCGCGCCGTCTACGAGCGACTTCTCGCCGCACTTCCCGATGGAGAGACATACATGTGGGACTGGTTCTGGAGGGAGCGCGAGTTCGGCGACGTCGACAGCCAGCGGCGCGCGCTCCAGAGGTGGGCGCGGTGGGCGCAGGCCCAGGGAGGCGGCTTCCTCAGGTCCAAGTCAGGCTGGAGTACTTACTTGAAGTTCGAGATCGACAACGGCGGCGGGGTGGAGCGCGTCCGGGCCGTCGGCGAGGCGCTCCTCGCGACCTTTCCCATGGATCCGCATGCGTACGCGATCTACATCAGGGCTCTGGCCGCTCTGTCCCGACACGTTGAAGCCCAAGCCCTGGCACGCCGTGGCGTCAAGGAGCTGTCCGCCTTCTGTCGCGGGCATGATGAGTTCATTTGGAGGTTTATGGCCGTGTATCTGAAGAGGCTCAGGGAAGGGCGGAGCACCGCGTGGGACGAAAATATGTTCAACGATTAGCTGTTTTTTGTTGAGATATGTTCAATGATTAGTCTTTTTTCAGGGAACTCTTGAATGATTAGCTGTTATGAGTATATATATATACTATATATGCACAAGTAGTAATAGATTGTCGCAGTGTTTACTGTTTGTCGCTTTTTTTCTCCTTTGCGATCTCATTGTATCTCTATATATTGACAGACTGAAGCTAACGGAGTCAAGAGAACATTTTATTTTCCTCAACCTTTCACACCATGAGACATAACTCGATTTGATGCCATGTTTTGATCAATATTGGCAAGCAAACTTAACTCTTGAGTAATAAGCTGTACAATGGAAAATGATGTTGTACCTACTTGCTGCTCATTCCAGCAGAAGTTTTAGCAGCATTTTAGCATATTTACGACATATGTTTCAACAACGATTAAACGGCAAGATAACAAAGCAGAATTACCGCCACAATTTTTTTTCGAAACGGAGGCAAAAGATTTGCCTCGTCGATTAATTACGGAGAAGAGAGTTGCCCAGTTAATTAATGGAAAATTGAGTGAAAACCGATACAAACCTACCACACGAGGACTACTGACATAACATGTAACCCTATAAGCACACAATCAGCCCGACAATCATATCCAACACATAACGACCACCAACCTCCACACAGCTACATCGCATAGACACCCCTAACGAGAGTACCTCGGCCGGAGACTGTTAGAGTTGTGTCGAATATAGTGTACAAGGTAGGTTACAGTTGGACTTGTGGTTGTATTGTGTTTAGATAGGATCTGGAGTCGTGTCCTAATAGGACACTTGTATCCTAGGCCTCTCATATATAGCGGGAATAGACACACGATGTAACCTATGCCAACATAATAGCACTGGAACGCAGGGGAAGCCGGCGGCATGTGCCGGTGTCCAGGACGACCGGGTGCGGTATTGTAGCGGTGTCATCGGGAGGAGCACCCATAGTTAGGCCCCGGGGATGTAGCCATATCGGTGAACCTCGTTAACAAATCTCGGTGTCGTGCTCATGTGATTGCTTGGTCCTCGGATGATCGACGGTATGGCTCGGATTTATTCTAACAGAGACCACGAGCACCACCAAGACCACAGAGACAAGTTAGGTCATATGGACAACTGAAGAGACTGATGACCATACATCAAGCAGCTGCAGACGCCTTTCCTGCGCCACCACTCTTCTTACTTTTGCTCTTGATGAGAGCCTCCTCCACAATCACCTTGCCGGATCCAGGACAAGCCGCCTCCAAACGCTTGAACCTCTAACTCGAAGAGAATCCCATCGACCTTGTCACGCACAGACACCACCTTCCCGACGGCCACCTCCGAGTGGGTGACCGCAACGTCGGAATCTCCGCGGTCCACAAAGGCGAGCGGCTGGCTGGGCTCCCAAGAGTCAGGCGCCAACATATAGACCGCTTCAACATCATCAGCCACAGAAACCACCGGCACGACAACATCGCCCACAGGAACCACTGACACTGACTCAGGCACCTCCAGTTGCTCACATGACATACGCCTCCACGCGCTCCACAGACAAAGGCGAAACAGGGCACAGACATAGCTCTTGTAGGTCGGGCATAATCTGCAGAACTGGAGCCTCGGGCACAGCGATGGGCTCACCCTCACTAGTACGCAACACAGGAGACAAGGTCAACAGTGCCGATGAGATATCTCCAACACGAGGAGAGAAACACCCACCATATTACCGCCACAATTAGTTTGCTACAAGGATCAGACTTCCATAAACAACCCATGGATAGTGGATCCATGTCCAGAGTTGACTAGCACAATGAGTTGAAAACAAATGTAAGTGTTTTTTTGGGGAATATTAGAGAACTGAGTGGCATTCTCGAAAGAGGTCATTTGCTAGTGATATTTTTAGAGAATATTGAAAAAAACAGTGGTACACCAGTACCAATGCATATGTGCAGCTGATGTAACATTTTTTCACCACACATATACAAGGAAGGAAAACAGTAATAGTGCATATGTGCAGCTGATGTAACATTTTTTCACCACACATACATAAGGAAGGAAAACAGTAATAGTGCATATGTGCAGCTGATGTACACAACAAGAGTTATTTACATGTATAGAGTATATCGCAACGCGGCCAGCAACTCTCCCGCGACATGTCATATGATATCTGTTACTACAATCTACAGCTATGACTTCTCGTAGATGATATCATAATGCCCTGGTCTATACAGTAGTGTCACAGTAGGAACCGAGGAATCTGGTGACTCGTAGATGATGTGGATGTTAGGCTCCTCAATCAGTGAAACGTCAATGTTAACAACTCGGAGTGGCACCTGTAGGACATTGGTGAGCACAGTGAGATTCACTTGTTGTGCATCTTTCTTCACTGAGAGAACCTCCTCCAGGCAGTACTGCAATTCAAAAACACATAAGGCGTCTGACAGTGAGGACTTCACATCATTTTTTTGACATACAGTTCCAGTTGCTGGTACAAGTATTATGATGAAATTTTGCTCCAACTATGCAGTTCCATCACACAGACAGATCATAACTAGCAGACAAGAAAGGCAATACCATTTGCTTCTAATGTACATATGACACTCAATTATGCATAGAAGATTACTGCACTATCTAAAGGAAATACTCACCCCTATTGCATCAGGTTCGGTTATGTATGGCTTAAAAGTTTCAACCTCAGTGCATATCTCAATAGCTGTCACAAGTCGAAGATACAAAAGTACTAAACACAAAACAAAAATAGTTGGAGTCAGAAAATTAGAGTAAGTTGGCAAGATAACTAAGAAAATTGTTGTATATTCTCACCGTTCGCAAACTTCTGCTCATTTTGACTCTCCTGGAAAAGCCACTCTTGATAGCCACTGCAACAAAATTTATAACATAAGTACGCAACACAGTTTATTCTTGCGAAAATGTTAATGCAAACCCACCTTACTGACAGTTTTTGTTTTTGTTCCATACATTCCAGTATGAAGCCTGCAAAAGCCTGGACGAATTACAATATTATTAATATATAACTTAAGTGCACTTGGCGGTTCAAAACTAAAAAATTGGTGGATGAAACAATGCAGGAAGCCTTACATCATGGAGATCTGAATATGAACCAGGCAAATGAAGCCTTTGGAATTTCTCCCACATAGGTTCAAGTGCACCAAGTAAACGTAGCTCCTCCTCGTGAGATACTTTCACAAGCTGCTCCTACAGACCCAAAGGACAAAATGTAAGCATCACCAAGCACCAAGAACTTTAAGGTGCAGAACTGGAAGAAATTTAGCAACAAGATACTAGTGTACCAGGTATGAGTATATGAACGATCTGTAAAAGCAACTCCCGTCTCCAGGTACTTTCCGATATTCAGAGTAATTAGCCGAAAGTTTCTGCAGAATCGCACACAATAGATGAGAATATATAACAAACAAGTGAGGACACAAATCAAGTAGAAATATAACAGCTCACAAGTCATATTACTTTTGCCTTATCTTTCATAATTTCATTTTCAAACTCATGCGGTAGAGATGATAAAGGTTCCTGCACCGAAACAAGATTTCAATTAGTAAAACAAATGTTATTTACCAAATTGAAATCTCTAGCCTCAATGATAAAATCAGAGAATATCCTATTAAAGTTAACCTTTTGAAGAATTTTTTTGCAGCCATTTTGTGATGTCTGCAAAACCATAGAAAACTGAAGGTGCAGAGAGGTTAAGAAAGGAATGTTGAAGCATAGTAAATTAAACTAAGCATTTGAAAAGCAACCCTTACATCATCACAAGCCTCGTACTCGTCTCTCCAAGAAGCCTTCACAGCATCAGATGCCTCGTGACTCCAGAAAGGAGCTTCCAGAATCTGAAAACAAAACAAACGTAAACTTTTGTTTTATTTACAGAAGAATTGTGTACAGTTTGCAGGATGCCTAGTTTCAATCTGAGTTGGATTGTAGTCACTGTTTACATTTGCGGCCTTGGCTGTAGGAGACCCAACACTTCTATAAGAAAAGCGGAAACTTCAGAAAGCGAAGAACTGTAAATATTGGTGTGCTACAAACTTATGTTTGAGCAAAGCGAAACTATTCATTAATAACACACAACTCGACAGATAGAAGTACACACATTTCAATATGGAATATACTGGGGTGCAGAAGCAAGACAATTTTTTTAATTTTTTTCCACCTTATGCCTGAAAGAGGCGATCATGTGGGACTTTAACAGCCCTAAGATTTTACAAGCCTTGAAGTTGAAGCAAAGAAGACTGGTCATGTAAATGAAGAGGCACCATTGACATCCCCAATGGACTAAGCAAGAAATTACAGAAACCACCAAGCGTAGCTGAACTTATAATATCTGGTGTGGACTCACATTTTGTTTAGACATCTACAAGATGGTGAATTTTATACAGCCAACAAAAAAATTCACCTTATACCTGAAACTGAAAGAGCCAAACATATGGGACTTCAAGAGCACTAAGTATTTCAAGCATAGAAGAGGGTTCACCAAGAAAGTAAGCAAACCATTGTAGAGTAGCTTATCTTATAACAGTATCTGTTATTGATTCAGATTTCGTGCTGGTGACCTAAGAATCGACTGTAAACATCGGCTTTGTAAAAATGCAACAAAAAATAAGTAGCCATTGCATAACTGGGAAAGACATGTAATATTTAACAAAGAAATTGGTTGTACAATTCATATTATTCATATGGTATAATTTTTTTGGATAATAAATATCTGACATCTAAATTAGCAAGATTTGTGACAAACAAAATTCTCAGCTAGCGAGTCTAAGAAACCTTCACAGGTACAACATTTTCATGGGGCCGGGGAATTGCCCCCTTTTTGAAAAGAAAAAGGTGCAGACTATTCATGTTTCTGCTGCTGCCTATCTATGCCAATATTCTATTTTTCTACACTTGGCTAATTTATAATGCTAAAATTCATATAAAGCCAATAACATGGACTGCTAAATGTGAAATTCATAAAAGAAGTGACTATGAACAAATGCCATTTAGCATTAGTACAACTGCTACACTCTAAAGACGACCCGGGCTATGTACACTTCCAAGAAAAAGGATGCAGAGATAGAAGTCATGGGTTTGCTCGAGCAAAGCCAAAACTTTTCATGGATAACACAACTCCACACACAGAAGCACGCAAATTTCAATATGGAATTTTTTCGTTGGAAATTTCAATATGGAATATAATGAGGTGCAGAAGCAAGATTTACTCCCTCCGTCCCACAATATAGCTTGGAAAACGATATTATATTTGGGATGGAGGGAGTAAATTTTAATTTATTTTCCAGCTTACGTCTGAAAGAGGCAATCATATAGGACTTTAACAGTGCTATGATTTTACAAGCCTTGCAGAAGACCGACCATGTAAATCATTGGCATCCCCAACAGAGTTAGCAAGAAAGTAGGGAAAGCATAATATTTGCTTTCAACTCTCACATTTCTTTTTGTTATCTAAGAGACAGTAGGTTGTATATTTGCAGGGTATTAGACAAGTATAAGGCGATGCAGAAAATCGAAATTGACGAATCTTTCTAAGCATGGACACCTACAACCTACAAGAACCTACATTCGTGAATCTTTCCAAGCCTGTGCACTGTTAAAATTGCAACCATAATCAAAGATTCAAACACACAAGTCCAAGATCAATCTTTCTTGGTCAAAACATCCACAGAAATGATTCCCAAATTGAGAACGTACTAGGTTTCTTGCAAATTCCCAAATCAAGAACGCATTGGATTTCTTGCAATACCTGATTATACATCCACTCAGAGGGTGGATCCCTGTAGAGATCCCTGTAGTTGGAGGCGTCCAGAGAGCTGGAGGTCGAGGCGCCGCCGCAAGTACGGTCGCTGCCGATCCAGCTGTCCGAGGAGAAGGAGGACGAGGAGGATGACGCTCCCATGGTGCTGCTCGACGGTCCCAAGAGGAAGGAAGCGGAGGCCGGGTTCTTGTATCTGTCTGCGGGCTCGTCGTCGTCATCAGATCCCCAGGCAGAGGACGAGGTGGAGCCCTCGTTGGCGACGACCGAAGTCCCCGGGGGCTGACCGGACGGGCGAGTACTGAGAGGGGAGGCGGGCGCGGAGTAGCGGTCGTCGGATTCTTGAGGAGTGCTGCAGGGCTCAGCCCCATCTCCGCCGCAATTGGGATCGTCGGCGTCGGGAGAGCCGCCGGAGCCGGCCATTCTATGCGGTTGGGGGAGGCGGGAAGCGGAAAGGGCAAGGGGACGGGAAGGTAGGTGAACGGGAAAACAGCGCGAGATTTTGTGAGGGTGGCAAGGGGGGAGGCCCTATATGACGCTCTCAGCGTCCCAACAGAGCCCCAACGCACCAACGGCTGGGCCGGCCCATTTACAAAGGACTGTACCAACGGGGTCCGTTCTGTAGCACCGATTCACTGTAGCGGTTTGCGCTTGCTGTACCAGCGGTTTTCCTAAAAAAATCGTTCGTTTTCTTGAAGGAACATCGATTCCATTTTTTATGAAAAAAGATAAAATCAGCTTTAAAAAAAAGAGAACATCTTCAAAACTTCAACTTTTTTTAAGAAACATGGAGAAGTTTTCAAAACACAAACATTTTTTGAAATTCTTGAATGTTTTTCAAAAAATGAGATTATTTTTTATTTGTGAACAAAATTTGGTAATGAAACGAAAATTTGAAATTCCAAACAATATTTTAAAGACACGAACATGTTTTAAAATTCCCAAACATTTTTCGGAAACGTGAACATATTTTTAACTTGTGAAAAAAAATTAAAACAGAACATTTTTTGACATCTGAACATTTTTTGAAAAACAACATCTCTGCACTGTCACTTCGTCAAGCTAATGTCAACCACGTTGCATCATCACCTCGGCTGGCCGGCTTGGAATTCACATCACCATGCCAACATCGTTGCCTCATGGATTTCGACGTGTGCCTGCGTCGTCGCGCTATCACTTGTTTGGACCAATACCGACAACACCACATCATCACCTTGTCGGGTTGACCTCCTCGCCCGCCACCCGACTTGCTTTGTCACGTTGCCTGGCCTGGAGGCTCCGACATTATCGCCTCGCGGATTCTGGCCAAGCATCACTGCGCCATCACCTCATTGAGCCAACCTCCTGGCTCTGCCACGCCGGCGTGCTCCGTCACGTCGGCTGGATCTGGGGCTCCGGTGTCATCACATCGACCTTCTCCGGAAGTTCCACCTCGCCACGTCGACTTGCTTCACATATTCTGACCTGCGCCGACATCAACGCATCGTCGCTTTATCGAGACGGCATCGCCATACGGAACTGACTTGGAGCTGGGACCTTGTCCCTCCACGGTCCCGGACTAGGCACTAACGCCTGGAGCATAAAACCAGCAAAGTCGCTTTCATTCTTACACTTCTTCAGTTTTAATTTTTTTGTTTGGTTCGATCAAACATTATATGTGCGTTGAATAAAGATCTTTTGCCTTCGTTCCCTTTTGATCTTTCTATGCCAAGTCTAGTTTCACGCCTAGTAGTTTGATTTTGGTCCCCCAGGCCAGACTTGGGGGCTGTAAAAGCCTCTACTTTAACATGTGCCGCTAGCGGACCTATGTGTTCTTTCTTAGTCATTTTGCTATATTGTTCTTTGCTATGGTCTTCGGCTTGTGTCTTTGGTCAATATCTGGGTTGTCTAGATTCTTTGTTTGTCTCTTAGTTTCTGCTAGTTCGGCTAAGATTAGCCTTTGAAGCACTCCTCATTTGCCTTATGGCCGAGGAGGTTGAAGCCGAAAGCTGGCTAAGGCATGTGAAATTGGATGCAAGCAAATTTAAAGCACGATGGAAGCACTAATCATAGTTTTAAGACCAGCTTGGTTAGCACATAAAAAGGCTTGACTTAGTTGAAGCATGATATTTGTTACTTAAGCTTTTCGGTATTTCCGAGCTCACGATACTTCTAACCTGCTCTATGATTTAATCTAGGATGCAGGACTGCTTCACCAAGTTGGATGGCTTGAGGGATCAATCTCGTGTGTCCAGCCTGGTGCTCCGTTTTGCCATGTTAGACAGCTTGAGGGCTCAACCTCGCTATGTCTGGCTTGGGGGCTATTATATCCGCGTCACTGATCGGCTAAATTATTTTCGAAACCGACATCTGGCAGGTTGATCGACGGACCCCGTGGAACCGGCATGGGAGCTATTTCCCCGTGCCACTGGTCGGCTAAATTATTTTCCAGGTCGGCATCTCACCAGGTTGATCGATGGATCCCAGAGAACCGACCTGGGGGCTACTGCACCCGTGTCATTGGCCGACTAAATTATTTCTAGGTTGTCGTCTGGCAGATTGATCGATGGATCACACAGAAACGGCCTCGGGGCTATTGCGCCCATGCCGTTAACCGACTAAATTATTTTCCAGGTTGGTGTCTCGCAAGTTGATTGACGGATCCCGTAGAACCGGCCTAGGGGCTATTGTGCTAGCGCCGCTGGTCGACTAAATTATTTTCTAGGCTGGCATCTCGCAGGTTGATCGACAGATCCCCTATATTTGGACAAGGAGTTTGATCCGCCCAAATGCAGCTACTCGGTTGAGCGAGTGCCCGACAAGTTCCGATCCTCAGGTCGGTCATTTCTACCCGACCTGATTCTCCGGGGCTACTGCATACCAATTTTGATTTATTCAAGTCCCGCAAGGAAGATTGCGATCTTCACGCCAGTCGTGATGCCCAGCCTAAGTCTTGAAGGCTACTGCATTGATGTTTCTCATGAAGGGTTTTAAGTGCAATATGGGTTTTTGAGGAGGATTTCGATCCTCACGTCGGCCCGCCAGTGGTAGTCCATAAGCAGTGGCGGACGGATTGGGCTGCTCGCCAAAGCAGTTTTGTGTAGCAATGGCAAGCTTTCTCCACTGCTCGCCACTGTTACTAACCAATGCATAATTGATTCTATTACAACATATTTCGCCTGGATCAGATCATGAGATTAAATTCTTTTTTAAGATTGATCCACATACACGCACCACATTACAATGATGGCTGATTAATGAAAAGTAGTTACAAAGAAAATATCACAAGTGCATTATAATGATAAACATATATATGTCGCTCATCACACATAATTAATGGTTTCACGAGTTGTTTAGGAGTGAAAAGAGTGTCGGGCGATGTTCAACACATACAACGTCAGTAGAAACCGCATATACTGCATGAATTACTATTGGACGGAACGAACGGGGACCAACGGGCCGCTTGCTCTGGAATCAGAGATTTGGCCTCTCGAAAAGCCCATTGAACTACCTCACCCGGCGTGCGTATAGTGGTTGGACTCATACCCGGCCAGATCCTCAGCCTCTCATTCGGGGTCGCCTCCATCAGGATGCACACCGCGAGGTCATTGAACCGCCTCTCTGCTATCTTCTCCATCTCTCGGAGAGAACACTGGGCCATTGTAACATTCCAAACTTTCAATTTGGAATGTTTTACAATTATTAGCTAAGCATCTATGCATTTTGTTTGAACTGAGTGGCATTTCAAAATTTCAGAGGCATTTGAGTTTTATTTGAATTTGGATTCAAATTGGCATTTGAAATTTATTTCACAAATACCTGACAAATACTTTGTTCAAAAGTATGAGAGGAGCTAACATGACACTCCACAAATGTCAGATGAAAACAATGCCAAACGAAATGGAATCCAAATTTGGTTTTAATTGGATTTTATCAAAAACATGTTTTTATTAAAGTTTGAATTTTTCTCTGAAAAATAGTTCATATTATAGGTTTTATTTTTCTGGGTATTTTTGTAACGACCCGACCTCAGACGGTTAAGTCTCTGTGCTTAAGTGTCATCCCTGGATCAGTATGCTGACACACACAGTACTCGAGGATTTATAACAGAGGTAAATCACATGTATAAAATAATATAAATACTATTACCTCAATCCAAATAGCGAAAGTAACAAGGTTGTGGATTCCCATCAACACCAATGGCAAAGTTGATTATAGGAATCGTAACCCTAACGTATCACTTACTCGTCGTAAGATCCTGCAACATGAGACGTTGCAGCCACAAAGGGTCAGTACATTGAATGTACTGGCAAATTCACACCATAGGATAATGATGAATAATAATTATCACTACATGCATATTTGGCTGGTGGAAAGCTTTATGGTTATAGTTTTTGCGAAAAGCCAATTTTTCCCTACTGCAAAGGAATATAATTTTAATTTAACTATCATGATGGTTGAAACATCATTTGAGAAGGTAACCCCAACTCAATGATCCCAATTAAAATAGTTAACATCCCAGCAATATTAATTTAGAGTGTTGAGATACATGTGAATACTCAAGTACTAGATACTCAGAATTGTCCATGACCGGGGACACAGCTAACCATGATTAGATTGTACACTCTGCAGAGGTTTGCGCACTTTTCCCCACAAGACTCGATTGCCTCCGTTGGTTTCTCGCACTGCATGGTGTTTGAGAGACGGATGACCGAGACACAGTCTTTCAGAAACATTAACTCTCTACTCCGGGCAGACCATACCAAACCTACAAAACCCACTACCTGCTGATCCACCTCTTCAAGAGCTTCATGTAACTTACTCAACTATGCTAGAGCCCATAATAGCTTGTGGCTGCACACGGAAGTTTCTAGCATGAATAATCTCAGTTCCCTTTGAGCCTGGGTGGCGGTCCATAGGAGAATCACACGGTAACCCCGGGATTTCCAAAAATAAAAGAGGCAATCACTGGATACCCCAAGTGCCTCAATCCACCCAGATGTGTATTAAAGTTGCCACCTTAAGTAAATCATTAATTAACAATCTCACATCTGTCATGGAAATTCACTCACCCAATCCACGTCTACTAGCATAGCATGGCATAATAAGCAAACATAGAAGTAACTCCCAAGGGTTTGAAAATAAAACAGGTAATAGGTGCTACCTCAATCTACTTCCCAAAACCCACAATTTAATTCAGATCCTAATCATGCAATTGTTTGAGGATCGAAACTAATGCATAAAAACTGGGTATGAGAAGGGATATGATCAAAGTGTGAACTTGCCTGCAATGTTGATGAAGAGGATTCACACTCAAAACCCTTGATAGTTCTACGCGTCACACTCCGGTCAATCTATCGTAAGCAATCAATAGTAACCACACTTAAGCAATCACTCAAAAGACCAGAAAGAACGAAGAAGACGATTCGGAAAACATCAAAACC